AAACCCCGTCAAAAGGTATAACCAAGCGTGTCCCGGGGGGGGGGGGGGGAGCGGGGACAACATTCTTTAGGAAGAAGGGGAACCACAGTTTCATAAAGTTAGAGGAACCCAGCCATACTTTGACAGCAAGTCGTCAAGGAAGGTTCCCAGAAGCAACCTGCAGGGAGAAAGGTCCCCTAAACGCACATGCGCATTTCACTGTCAGAGGCGGGTAGCTCACCTTAGCGTCGCGTTGTCCCCCTGGCAAACTGTATAGTTGTCCGCCGGCTGATTAAAATCCGCACTCCGCACCAGCAGCCCTGCGCAGTGAAAGACGGAAGATGCCGTTAGGGTCTGGTGGAGGAACGGCTTAACGTAAAACCATAAGAGGAAAATTTTTTCCAGAAAAAAAGAAAAGTTTGTTGAGAAACTAAAATATATACAATTCTTACATTCCGGTTAAACCTAGATTTCTTTTACTCATTCAACAACATAAAATGTATGACTTATTTCCCATATAAATTTGAACTATTTGGCATATGTATAGAATTTAAAAGTATACATGTTTCTGTTTTCTGTAAGAAAAATTCAAAATATAAGAACATAAAAGAAGCCATGTTGGATCAAGCCAATGGCCCATCCAGTCCAACACTCCGTGTCACACAGTGGCAAAACACAGGCGCCAACATAAGGTCCACCAGCAGGCCCAAAACTCCAGAAGCCCTCCCCCTGTTGCCCCCCTCCAAGCACCAAGAATACAGAGCATCCCTGCCCCAGACAGAGTTTTCCATCTATACCTTGTGGCTAATAGCCTCCGATGGACCTCTGCTCCAGAGGTTTATCCAATCCCTTCTTGAAGCTGTCTATGCTTGTAGCTGCGACCGCTTCCTGCGGCTTCCCAGGTGTTCCACATATACATATACCTGCCCAGATAGTCCAAGTTAGCCCGATCTCATCAAATCTCAGAAGCTAAGCAAGGTCAGCCCTGGCCAGTATTTGGACGGTAGACCACCAAGGCAGTCCAGGGTCGCTAGGCAGAGGCAGGCGATGGCAAACCACCTCTGAACGTCTCTGGCCTCGAAAACCCAATGGGGTTGCCATAAATCGGCTGAGACTCGACAGCAAAAATACATAAATGAATAGAAATAACTGCTGCTTTGGGTTCCCACTGGGGAGAAAAGTGGGGTATGGAGATCTCGAGAAGGAAAGAAAATACCACCTGTGGCTGCAGGTGAAGAATCATAGAATCATAGAGTTGGAAGGGACCTCCAGGGTCATCTAGTCCAACCCCCTGCACAATGCAGGACATTCACAGATACCTCC